GGGCTGAGGATCGAACCCAGTGCCTCACATGTGCTAGGCAAGCACTCTATCACTGAGCTACAATCTCAGCCCACGAGTCACTCTTAATAATTTTTTGTTACTTACCAACAGTCTCATGATAGCTGGAAAGCTCAGGATACAGTTTATATTCATTTCTGTTACCTGCAAAAAAGGGGGGAGGATTTAGAAAGGTAATTAGTGTGTACTGTATCATAAAGCACACAGAAAGGCCAAATCCTGCTCTTGTCCCTCAACCACCTTAAGACGCTGTTCACAGTAGGAAACCAATATTCAGTCGTGCTGTAAGTCAAAAGGTATACCTGAACAAACCCACCAGACACACCAAGTTCAGGAACCCAGTACCTATGACACAAAATATCTGTTTCCAGAAGCAGCCATGAAAAAGCTAAGTGAACAAGACTGCCAGCCCAAGCCAGGGACTTCTGAACATCCCCTGGCTTACCCTAGCACTCACTTCGACCTTCAAATCATATTTCAACGTTGATGCCATTTCTCTCAAAATCTTATAGTAATGTGTTAAATTGTATTTTTATGTAGCATTTCCTACAACAGAAATCTGTATGTAAATTTACTTTTTAAATTTAAGTAAGCACAGCTTCTATTAAATAAATTCTTATAATAGATTGAGTTATCGTTATAATTGCTATTTATAGATGATTGATCAAAATTTAAGCATATTCTAAACTCTGTTAGCTTACTAAACATAAAAGTAAAATTGTATTTGAAAAGCATCTGTATAGATGATGAGGCTTTAAAATTCATTCATTTGCACAGGGTCACTTCTTCTCATTGTTGGAATGACATTGGCTCAACATCCATTCATGGTTTAGTGCACTTTTCTATAGATACAGGTGCTCAGAGAGGTTCTTTTTGTTGGAAGATGGGCCTCACTATGTTGTCCTCCTGGGCTCTGTGATCCTCTTGCCTCAGCCTCCCAGGTGCTTGGGACCACAGGTGCCACCTCCCCCCCCCAATAGGAAAAGTAGTTTTTATAAAAACTAGAGAAGACTAGAAGCAGAGAATTTATAGCAATGTAACTGAATTATTTTATAGCCCTTCTTAGAAGCCAATAAATAATTTAAAAAGCTCACATTTATCATTCATCAAAACAACATATTCATAAGATAATAAAACATTATATAACTTTTGTTTAGGTGATGAATAGCTATTTGATTTTTTAAAAAATAATTACTATATAATGAGACTATGAACTACTATTTTCATTATAAAAGTAGATAAATTTCAGTTAGGTTCTTCCTCAAGAAATCACTCTGTGGAGGCTCTACTGTCCACCAGAACCATTCGCTCAGGACACTGGTATCACATCCATGTTTCACATTGGCCTGCTTTTAGGGCTGCAGGCAATTTCACTTGGTGAGAATCAGCATGCTTGAGAGTTTGCTTTTCCTCTTCACATACAGAAAACAGGGCAGAAGATGCAGACGGAGCCTGTGCACAATGCCCAGTGGAAGAATTCCAGGACCTGGAATCTGGAAACTGCCCTGAGAGATGCCTGAGCCCACAGGTCGTGGCTGGCATCTCTGTGAACCCTGAGCACGGACGGGAGCACACCTTGGAGCTCAGGCAGCAAGACACAGTTGCAAATGCTGGTGGGCAGGACGATACTCCAAGGGATGTGCTTTAAGAAACTGACTAGAAATAATTTGGGGTGAATGACCAAATTTCAGACCAGCAAAATGTGCGCCCCTTGTGATTTCCTGCACCCTGGTCTGGAAATGGAAAAGTGTATTCCACTCACAGGAAGGGCACAGATCCAGGAAGGCCCACTGGGAGACAAGGCACCACAGCAAGGCAGAAGGGACCCAGGTCTCCAGGTGATTAATTACAACACTGTGGCATGAACATGAGTTCATAGTATGATTTCAGCTAGAACTGAAAGATGGCAGAGGAGGAAATGCTTGGTAAATGATCTTAACATACAGGAAGAACAAGTATCCAGGAATCAGAAATAAAAATAGCACAAGGAATCGGGGAGAATGCAATTGTTTATCGGACATAGGAAGACCTTTGTAACCATGATTAAAACACATAAATTCATAAAAACTAGATGGTTAGGCAAATTTCTACATAAAAATTAAAGCTCTCAATTAGTAAAACATGAAAAATAAAAAACACATAATAAATGTAAAAAAAACTACTGCAACCCAATGACAGAGCCACTGAAACAGATCATTTTCAAAAATAGAGAAGGCAACAAACATTCCATTAGGAAAAAAGGAACCAAGGAAATGAAAAGACTGCTCATACAAGAGAAATTCTAAACACTGGCAATGTGAGAGGGTCGACTTCACAGTGATGGGGGAGAAAACTTCCAGTCTCGATGTTCACAGACCTGAGAATGCTCCAGAGCCAAAAGCTGTGGGAAGGGATGTGAACATTTTGAAGGTAATGTCATTCTGGGAACGTCGTGGCAGGTGTGTATGTGGTGGTGAATGCGTGGGAGAGCGAGGTAGGGGAGAGAGTGGGAAGAATGCAGGTGGGCAGCGTGTGGGGCGAGCACCCATACATCCTGGGGATGTCTGGGAAGTGGAGCGTGTTTCAGGTGGACTGTGTGTGTGACAGGAAAGGTATATGATGTGGAATGAGCGTGATCAGGTGTGGCTGTGGTGGAGAATGCTAAGAACCCATGTGAGGGAGCTGGGCTGAAAACTGGAGAAAATAGATGTGAAACAGGACTGAGGAGTCCGAGAAGGAGCTTTCTACTCTCTGAAGAGCTTCAGTGCCTTTTCTAATCCTCTTCCCACAGTAAAAGTTACACACTCATATGCAATCTCTCCTTCTATACGGAAATCCACTAACAGCAGAATCTTTGAGTTGTGCTCCAAAACACTGCAGCACAGTGCCTCTTACATAATAATTGTCCATTACATGAAAGAGCACCAACTTTAGTACATTTCTATTTATAGTTAACTCGTATTTATGAAAAACAGAAGTCTCACAGTTACTATCATACTGATAGATAGTAAAGACCCAAATTGGATGTTTTATAAACTTCACCTAGCTTAACAAGCACCTGAGAACGTCCTGAGATCCCAGGAATAGGTGGTAAAAATAATACTCAGAAACATAGGTGTGAGGGCTGCGGTTGTGTGTGGTTCAGTGGTAGAGTGCTTGCCTAGCATATGCGAGGCACTGGGTTCGATTCTCAGCACCACTTATAAATAAGTAAATAAATAAAAGTCCATCAACAACTAAAAAACTTTTTAAAAAGAAAAGAAACATAGGTGTGAGAACATACCCCAGATTAGGTTTATGTGTTCAAATTGGTAAACCTCAGTGTGACAAAGTACAGGCGGGTGGGCTCCTGTGCTTGGATCAGTAGCATAGCCATTTCAGAAGAAAAGACAAAGTAAATGGTAAAACTTGAAAGATATAACTCTTTGTAGCTTTAAGAAAGCATCTCATGAGTGAGAACAGAAATTTTCAAAATCACATGGCTGAGAACTCAGGATACAGAAGAGACCCAGCATTTTCTTTTTTCTTAATATGCCATTACTTCTTGTATTTGAAAAGTGTAACAATGTTGCTTGAAGTCTTAACAAACTACTTATTAATTACTTAATTATAATGTACTTAAATTGCAACAAGAGTATGTACTTTGAGAGCTGGAGCTCGGCTGGGCTGCTGCAGATGACCCCTGTGGTCTTGAGGACGGCTTTGGAGGTAATTCCTTAGCCTGTGAGGAATGACAATGACATAATTCTTCCGTCCAGTTCACACTTAGCAACATAGGATGCTTTTGCGTCTAACGAGTCTAAGCAGCAACGTTTGCCCCATGCACTTACTGAGGTGGCACACTAGGAGCTGACAGGGACCTCTGGCACTGGGAACGAGTAGGCCTGGGTGGGAGGGGGGCTGGGCGCGACTGGGCAGCCCAGGGGAGGGCAGTGACCTCATGCACTGTGCGGCAAGGGCCAGGCTGTACAAAAGGCTGTCGTGGGTCGTGGTGAAACACCACAGAGTTTGGGGATGTGGGCTTGGCACGGGGTTAGTGTGGCCGTCCTCCCCTTCAGGAAGTCTGGCCCTGAGATGGCACGTCAGGGTCACGTGACACCTTCACACTCACTGCCATGCAACTGAAGTCACTCGGGAAGTGGAGGGGTCATGGGGCCTGACACCAGGGACAGAGGACAGAGGGCTCTATGGAGGGGATTCCTGGGACGCGGGGAGACCAAGGGCGAAAGCTCGAACCTTGTGCAGCTCCCTGGCTGCTCTCCTGGCGTTGGTGCGCTGCGCCTCACTCTCGTACTTCTGGGTGAAGGAATCAAGAATCTCATAAAGATCTTCGGCTTGTGCAGGTCGTGGCACATCTCCAAATAAGATGTCACAGGCTCGAATGTCCTGGCAGTAGAATCTGAGAAGAACAGGCCATTAAGAAAGTTGTTTCCGCAGGCACAGGAATGTCTCTTCTGCAGCCAGGCGCTGTGGCTCCCGTGGGCCGGCCTCCCCAGCCGTCCTGTCCCGCTCTGCAGTCCCCTCAGGTTGCCTCCAGAGGCAACTGCCCTGAGTATTCTGACGTGCACCCTTCCTCCGTAGGCACAGAGAGCACACAGACACATTCTTATGCATCTACCACACATCTACATGGAAAGGGTAACAGAAATCACAAAATCATGCAGTTTTATAGGTTTTTCCCTTTAAGTTAGTTTCTTCAAAAATGGTACCTATACACATGGCTGCATGATTTCTTTAAAATGTTTAAAATGTTCATTTTGTTAAAATTAAATAAAGATTTGTCTTATATGTTTGGAAGTCCTGAAGTTCATTAAGGACTATATTTGTCTTAGTAGAACTTTAGTGGAAATGTCAGCCAGAGACCTGGAATCAGAAGTTGATGAAGCATTCTTAAGTCCTATTTCTCAGACCACTAAATCCAGCAATGAGAACTCTGGTTCCACAGCATAAACGGCCCTGTGTCCTCACTCTCCCCTCCAACACCACTTTCGAGTGGCTCCCAGATGCTTTAATGTGAGGTGTGCTACTGAGTTCTCTTGTCCCCTCTGGTGGCAGGTCTGTTCCTGGCCCTGGGGAAGCTCTGCCAAGCAGCACTGCCTGGGTCACAGGCAGGCGGTCTGGGCCTTCCTGGGGTTCTGGAAGTAGCCTGCCCTCGTCTCAGCCACAATCCTAACTGGACTAAAGTGGGGCAACATCTAGGAGCAGCTGGGAAAACTCTCCAGAGGTCAGTTAGAGAGCAGCCTTCACCCGTAAGTACTTCCAAATGCTTTTTAAAAACCAAACTGTATTTCTAATTAATATTGGTCTCCATTTGATAAGGAGGGAAGGCAAGGGCAGAGTGTAATAGCAGAACATCTCTCACAGTGAGGCCCATTTCATTTGACCTGCAAGTTTAACGCGAAGCCCTCCCTGGACCTTTACAAACATGTTGAAGTGGGGTCTCTGGCCAGCAGAGAGCCATGTGGCAGCCAGTGAGTGCTCACCGTCTTTAGGGTGGTAGTGAAAAGATAACATGCTGCCACCTTCCTTGATGGGACAAAGGACAAGCATGCCTAGGAGACTGTTGGAGGCAGAAGGTATATGTGAACAATGATAGTGTTGGAGCGATGCAGTTTTCTTCTGTTTTTTTTTCTTCTAAATTTTCTGTAAGTATATATTACTTTTATCTTGCATGTTTCAATATAAAATATATGTTTAGAGTCACATCTCATTATATTTAAGAAAACATACATAGGTACTCTGTAAACTAAAGAGCTGTATCAGTTTTGAACTATCATCTTCTTGTCACCTTCGAAGTCATTTACAATCTGCAGCATGAACTTACTTCCGGTTAGTTTCTTTCCTTTCAATTAGACAGCTCCCTTCTAGAGAGATGCCTGCGAAGAGCCCCCTGGACTTGCAGTATGTGAAGACAGCTGCAGAGCTCCTCAGGGCCACATTTCCTTCCAGGTTCCTGAAAGAATGGAGCCTGAGATGACAGAGAGCACTGTACAAGCATGTGAGGAGCCCTGGCACTCACTCCAGGGGGTCTGGCAGGCTCACTTCCTGATGGCTGCAAGACAGCTTTGAGGTGCCTATAGGGAAAGCAAGGCCACCAGAACAGACAGAGGGTGCCCGACTGGAGCTCTGCTCTGCAGAGGATGCATGGGAAGCTGACATCTTTCAGACATGGAAACAGCTCCAGAGAGCTGAAGAACTGGGTGCAGTATGCACACCTGTAAGCCCAGTGGCTTCTGAGGCTGAGACAGGAGGACTGCAATTTCAAGGCCAGTCTCAACAACTTAGTAAGGTGAGACCTTGCCTCAAAATAATAATAATAATAAAAATTGAAAAAAAAGAGAGTGCTGAAGAGCTTGATTTCAACTAACATCATATCACTTTCATTAAAATACATGCCTTTCAGATGATTTTTCTGTTGACTTTCTTAAATGTGAAATTTTCCTACACTGCTTAATTAACCCAAGAAGAACACTTCATCAACAGAGAAGGAAAATATGCAATTTCAATGTTGTGAATATCCCCCACTTCAGCACTCAGGACTCAGAAAGAGGCTTCCCTCTTCTGGCCCTGCTATCCTTTACCACGCACCGACCTTCCTCAGAGCTCGTGGTGAGTGTTCTGTGCTCTGTGCTGGCTGTTTTCGTGTCTTTCTTTTTTTTTTTCATTGGCTTGATAACCATCTCTGGCAGATGCAGAAATCATAAGTTTGTCTATTTTAATTAAAATTTCATCTCAATGCAAAAAAAGGAGTTTTTAAGTCTTTACTGCCTTTGATATCTATTCTAAAACCACTTTATAAACCTTACCTTCCCAAGGGCCCAACAGCCACAGTACAGTTCCCTCCAAGCGTCAGATTCCCACCTTTCGCAAAAGCTTCAACGGCTCTATCATAGTTCAGAATTATCACCAGATCCGATACCTAAAAGGTAAAACCAGTTTATTTAAAAAGTTACAACTAAATATCATTTAAAATAAGGTCGATTAAAACTCAAACAAATCCTAATGTAATGTAGTAAAATTTCATGCCAACAGAGAACAGGAAGCCAATGTTCTGAGCCGAGACACCACGAGTACACAAGTGGCACCCCAAGCCCTCAGGCCCCAAGCACTAGATCTGTGCTCCAGGGGCACCTGGCTCTACGCCTTGCTCCAGCCAGCACCCAGGTGTAGGAGGCTACAAGCTGCCACTCCTGTTGCCAGGACCGTCCAAGTGGGGCAGGAGGGAGGTGTCTACATGCCCTGTGATATCCTCCACTACTCTCTCCAGGAGAGCCAGACTGGAATGGTGTGTGTATGAAGTGTGTCCCAAGAGCTCATGTTTGAGCTGGTGCAGGAGTGCTCCGAAGTGAAAAGATTAGATCTTGGGAACTCTCCCCTAATCAGCACACCGATGCACAGCTGGATTAACTGGTAACTGTAGGGAGGCTGGTTGGGGCTCGAGGAGGTAGGTCACTGGGCATATCTTTGAGGTTTATATTTGTTCCTGGTGAGTGGAGCTCTCCCTCTCTGCTTCCTGGTGGTCATGTTCTGAGCTGTTTTCTTCCCCCACACTCTTCCCCATGATATCCTTCCTCACATGAGCCCAGAGCTATGAAGCTGGTGTTTATGGACTGAGATCTCTGAAACAGTGAGCCCAAATAAAGTTTTCTTCCTTTAATTGTTTTTGTCAGGTTTTTTGTCACAGTAGTGAAAAAGCTGACTAAAATACAAACTCAGGAAACTAGGAAGCTGCAGTGGCAGATCCAGGCAGCACCCACATAGTGCTCTGGGGGAAGCTGCATGCACACCCCCAGGGAAGTGCAGCCAGGCACTTGGCCATGGATGTTCACAGTGCAAGAGTAACCTGGTTTCCATTAGCAATGCCCACGACTGGGAGTTTGTTTTCCTCTAAGTAGAAGGAAAACCTGGGATAAAAGCCAGCTGACTGCTCACTGCAGGTCCTACTGTGCTAGAGCCCAAGGTTAGAAAAGTTAATACCCCCTTAAAGCTTCCCACAGGGCCATGCAGCAACCCAACCAGGCAGCTGGAGGCAGTGTGATCTTGGGGGGACTGCTGAGCCACTCTATATAACATAAACTCCTGGTTTCCTCTATATAACATGGGCATAATCACAGTAGCTGCATCTGTAAGGCCATTTAAGGATGAGTGGGAATCATGGTGAAGCCTGGAGTAGTCCCCACATCTCAAAAAGCACAGAGGCCAAGCCAACCTTGACAGATGTTTTGACTTGCCCATTCTTTACTTTCTGAATGTTTTCAAACCAATGCTTTTGTTGACCTACAGAAAAATCATGTTATTACCAAAGGAGATTGTACTTGAAAGGACCAGATGGAGTTCCTGGTACAAGAGGCTGCTGACCCATGTGAAAGGCTTCCCTGTGGCACCTGCCAAGCACTACTTTCACTTCACATACAGGCCATCTCTGAGAAATGGGGTTGAATGACTTGGAGCGACTTGCATTTTCTCTCAAAGCTAAACCCCCTTTGGCAGTGATCACAGCCTGTGCCTCATAGGCACTTGCAGATGACAAGATGGCCTTGGTCTTGCACTGTGTTCAGCATCCACACCTGGAACATGTACACCTGCCCAGGACCTGGCAGCTGCTCTAGTTGTCCTGCCCTGCTCGGGATGTCTCAGTTAAGCATGGAAAAGCTCTAAGAGGCAGTTAAGGAAAAACGTCCATCTCTAATCTTCTATCTGTCTCTGTTTGGTTCCTTTGAAATGGGAGAAAAATGATCCCGTGTTCTTTCGTAATACCACTAATGAAGCAGAGAACCAGGTCACAGCTCCACAGACAGCTCGAGCAGCATGTGAGTACCAGCAGCCCCAGGCTTAGTTCTGGGGAGAGAAATAAGCACAGAATGAGGAGCAGAACAGGTTCCTGCAGGGGCACCAGCAGGGGGAACACTGCCATAGGGTGAGAAGCCATGAGAAAATTTGATAGGTGCTTCCTTGGTATTAATCAATAAGATGCCAGTTTGTCAATTAAACAAATCTGTAACTCTAAGGATTAAACATAACCACCACCAGCAGCAAAACCTGGAGGGATGTCTTCTGAAGCCAACTCCTCTCTGCAGCTGCTGCTTGGAAGCCTGCTGGGGACTAGCACCACCTACCTCTGCCCCTGCTGCCATTTCCAGCTGAGAGTCTGGCTTGTATGTGAATTGGGGCTGCCAACTTGGGCACCAGTTAAGGCCTGGGGTTCCTGCATGGCTCTGTGGGAAGTTTCCTGCCCACCTGCACAGCTAAGCTGCTCTCCCCTCCCCACTCTTTGAGCTCTTCTTGGATAGGTGAGAGCTCCGGTGTGGGCCCCAAGGTTGCCTTGCTCCCGGCATGTGGCCAGTTTTACTGCAGAACAAACCTGGGACCTCTGCCAACACATTCCACTCCTTACACAACAGGTCCATCACACATCGGCCTCTGACAACATCACTCTTCAGCTGGAGCCCAACGGCCTGCCTCCTGAGGAAGGCAGAAGATAAGCTCTCCTTGGAAGAAGCTGAATCGTTTCTTCAAACTCCAGTGAAAGCAAGATTTCCCAGAGTTACTAATGCAATGTGAACTCTGAATTTGGTACAAAACACAATTGGATAGATTCCTACCCAATACTATCCAGTAGTCCCCCCAAAACAGGTCCCACCACAGGCCACTCTGGACCTCTGTGACATTGTTTCCTTCACTTCTCTCGACCATCTATCTTTACCAATCTCTCCTACTAAAAGAACTTTCCCCACCCAAACTACCCCTTATTCCAGATGTAGGCAGCCATTTATTCATTTAGAGGGCTACTCAGTACACTCAATATCCAAAGGAACAGGGAGTCGGTACCCAACTCCCACCTTGCAGAATCTGAGGTCCAAACGTGTTGACCGTGCCTGTGGCTCTGGCAAAGTGCAGGGTTCCTGGTGTGTACAGGCCAGGATGAAGCTGTGGGTGGTGAAGGTTCCACAGTTGCTGCTCAGGAGCATCAGGCAGGCTGCCTTTGCTAAAGCCACACCCTGTCCATAGCCCTAGTTGTCAGTCATACACTCGGACAGCAAGGCATGAAAAGAACCACATTGAGATTTCAGTCTTTCTCTACGAGGACTCTCTCAGCATGAAGCCCCGGTGCTCTAAGGGTTGGTTCAGGAAGATTCAATACTTTGCCCAATGTTCTAGGGCTAAAAGAAGAGCTAAAACTGAACTTCTTAGGTGGACTCTCTACCCTGTCTACGGTACATCTGCCAATCAAATGCCCTCTGAAGATGGAGGGTCCTGGAGCAGCAGGAAGTTGGCTCAACACACACTTAAAGGGGGAATGCTTCCAGAGCAGTGCAAAGAGTCCCCGCAAACCAACAATAACTTGGAAAATAATTAGAAAAAGCACTTCCCATCTGTGGAAACTGCCCCACAGGCAAGCAAAGTCAACAAAGTGATACACACTCAGGAACTCTCTTCAGACTTGGCCGAGATCGCTGCAGCTGGTGACACTGGTGCTACACACGCAGCCCAGGTTCGGCCAGTGGACCACCCTACAGGACAGTGGCACAACGACACAGCCCCTGGCCCCAGCTTGTTGTTGCAGGAGCTGCAGTCCAGGTCAGTGTCTGCAGCCCCTCCTCAGGCCCCTCTACCTGCTATGGTTTGATGTGAGGTGTCCACCAAAAGCTCATGTGTGAGACAATTCAAGCAGCATCAGAGGAAAAATGATTGGGCTATGAGAGTCTTAACCTAATCAGTGGACTAACCCCCTGATAGGACTAACTGAGTGGAACTGAAATGGTGGTGTGGCTGGAGGAGGTAGGAGCTGGGGACATGGATTTGGGGTATACATTTGTATCTGGCAAGTGGAGACCTCTCTCTCTGCTTTCTGATCATCAAGTGAGCTGCTTCCCTCTGCTACACTCTTCTGCCATGATGCCCTGTCTCACCTTGATCCCCAAGGAATGGAGCTAACTATCTATGGACTGTGATCTCTGAAACTGTAAGCCCCCAAGTAAGCCTTTCTTCCTCTACAGTTGTGCTGGTCAGTGGAAGAGCTGACTGAAACACAACCTGTGTGGCAGAAGCCTACCCAGGAGTCGCAGGGCCCATCCTCCTTGGTCTGGCTCACCTGTAGTCACGAGTTCTACCCAGAAGACAAAGGCTGTGACTGCCCAGAGATGCTGGAGTCACGCTAGTGAAGCAGGCCACTGTCCCAGCCTCCAGCTCTGGAGGAACGGCATGGAGATTTTGGCCAGAGAGAAGTGCAGACTTCAATCACAGTTCCAAAGTTCTCTGGGGAAGCAAGCTGAACTGAAGCAGAGTGGGCAAAGCTCAGGGTGCTGTGGCAAGACAAAGTCTCTGAAGACACAGTAAGCAGCAGCTGGAGCTCCACGAGAACAGTGGAGCCATATGTTGAGGATGAAGCCATCAGCAGGCTAACACCCGAGCGACATCAACAGTCAGACAGCTCCACAGAGACCAAGGAAGAGCCCTGCTGTCTGTGCACCCACGCCTGCACCTTTCCAGGAGCAGTTGACGGATGCACTGAGACAGCCCAGCAGAATCACTAACTGAACAAGTCCTCAGAATCAGCTGCACTCACTCTTACTGTAAAGAGACTGTCAGGGTCCGGGCATCCTGAGGCGACCAAGCGACTTCCAGGCAGATCCTTATCATAGAGTGTACACAGGACTAGGATGGCTACAGACAAGAACTAGGTAAGCACCAGATAACACAACCCTAAACGCCATCCCATGTGTGGCTCCTGGACAAAGTGTCATTAAGTGACAAGGATGCATGACCCAAATCATGGGTTTTCAATAAAAATTATGAGACAAGCAAAGAAGCAGAACATGACCCAAACACAAGAAAAGAGAAAAGCAAACATGAGTAACTGCCTTTCCCACTTAGCAGACAGAAATTGTTCAAATTATGTTCAAAGAATTATATGATTAAGAGGCAAACTCTGGAAAAGGAGAACATTGACTCAAAGATAGAGCACTTCATCATTGCTCAACTGGTACAGACAGAGGCCACATGAAGAGCAAGGAGAAGTCCTGGGATTGAAAGCAGGTGACAGATATAAAGAATCCCCTAGAGGGGTCAACCGCAGAGCTGAGCAGGCAAAACAGAGTCAGCGATGTAAGGACAGATCCATAGAGAACCTTAAGACTAAGAGAAGAAGGATGAGCAGATGCCATCACCACGAGGTACAAGGTGCCAATGGGGATGCCAGCACCATAGGAAAGAAACAGAGGACACTCTCCAAGAGGCCATGACTGGAAACATCCCCAGCCGATGACAGGAGCAGACACTGTTCTCCAAGCAGAACAGTGAGCCCTGAACAGGCTAGATGAGTGGAGATCCACCCCCACACACAACTGCAAAGTGCTGGAACATGGAGAAAAATCTCAAAGGCAGCAAGAGAAGGAGGACTCACCTTGTGCAAGGAACCTCAGCAAGATGCATGCAGGTTTCCTACCAGGGACAGCGGAGACTGGGAAGCCCTAAGATGGCAGATCAGACTCCTGAAGGGTAGACTGTCAGCCCAGAATCCAATACCAGCAAAATCGCCTCTGGAAATGGAGGTGAAACTAAGACGTCCCCAGATCACAGGAAAAAGAACTGGGGGATTCTGTTGCTAGTAGACCCATTTTACAAGTGCTGCCAGTGACAGCTCCTTAGGTTGAAGCCAGGGGCCCTAGGTGGCAATCAAAACCATATAAAGCAGAGCACTGGCAAAGACAAGCATGGAAACAGGCCTCTCTCCTTGATCCCTGACCTGAGTATAATGCACAGTTTGAAATGCCTCCTGTGAACTGTGTTGCTATGCCTGCAACTGAGAAACGCAATGTATCTGCCACCAGCAGATCAAAGGAGTGGGCAGGGGCAGGGCTGAGTTGCAGAATGGACACCACACCTTTTGTCCCCTGGAATCCACAGGAGCAGCCATGCAACACAGGTGGCAAGTTAGAAGGCCCATAGTGGGATCAGAAAATAAGCACCTGCTCTCAATTCTTCACTTGATTTCTTTAAAGACATGACATTATATAACTGCCAACTGTAAAATGTATAGTTGGGCTTATAATTATAGATGTAATAACACATTTATAGCAAAAAAAAGGAGAAAAGGGAATATGACTAAATAAAACAACAATTCTGTGTCTTACAGAATAATGCTAATATAAATTTGAAATAGTTTTTGCTAAGATGTGTTGTAAACTCTACAGCAACCACTAAAATATGACTCAAAAATAATAAAAAATCAGAAGAAAAATACAACTTTAGATAGAGAAAACATGAAATGTCAGACACCCATCAAATGATACTGATAATACCAGTACACATAAATGGATTAAACGACCCAACTGAAAGGCAGAGACTCTCAGGCTAGAGTTAAAAAAAAAAAAAAAAATCCAACCACATGCTGCTATGCTCACTGCAGATCCAAAGCTCCTGGCAGACAGCGGAAGGGCAGTTTCAGGGAAGAGGCAGGCTGTGCTCTTTCTAGCCTCCTTGCCCATTCTGACCCAAGCAGACAGAAATGCTGGCTGGGGCTGGTCCGAGACCAGAGGTGAATGCTGTCACATCTGTACTGAAAGCTACACATACTTCCTGCTGCTGCTGGAGAGTGCTGACAGCTCTAGCATCACTGCCCCTTATCATCTCCAAGAGTTGGGCTCAGAGCAGAAGTCTGGCCACATTCAGAAAGCTTAAAGTAGGTTTCCAAATGTTGGGAAATGCTTTTTATTATCTCTACTGAAATTGATACCTTAAAAAGCTAGTAATTATCATTTATGCCTGTTGTTTAAGTGAAATTTCAGAGTTGATTTCCATTCTGTCATGAGGATAAGCTTTGCAATCAAAAGTTCTATATATGACAAGCTGAGTAACAATACAACCATTCCAAGTGCTTTTCATGTATAAACCCATTTATTCACTCATCAGTTTAAAGCCAGAGGAAGGCTATTTTCACCTGTTTCACAGAGTGAAAAATTAGGCCAAATCATGAAAGACAGCTCAGGAAGAACTAACTGAAATGTGAAAAGAAATGATTTCAGCACATCAGGAGATCTGATTTACCAAGAACTTAGTAGTAAAGCAACAGATGAAACTCTAACAGCATGGATGAGTTGACGCCACACCTTTGTTGTTGTTGAGGATGAAGCCATCAGCAGACAGACTTGTAAACAGGGACACCCCAGTGTGTAATTCCTAGTCATTGATAACCTCCATAATTATGAGGAGATAAGTCATACACAGAAATAACACGTGCTAGCATGCACTTCCAGAATTTGAAGGAAACTGTGTTTAACCACAGATGGTGACCACCTAGGGAGTAAGCAGTTTTGTAGTCGGTGACCCACAACTGCCAATGCCAACAACCATTTGTCAGACCCTCCTTCCAGGGAAAGGAACAAAAGCTTCCTAGGGGAGTCAGAAGAAGGTGGATGTGCTCAGGGTCTGCACACACAGGTATGCCTCAGGTGAGATCTCTAGCATAGAAAAAAAAAAAGAACAAAGGGGAGGCAGGGGAGGGGTGCAGAATGAGAATAAGGGGGAACCATTCCCCAAGGCACTAGACTAGAAGCCAAGGGAAACCTATGGCTTTCACATGTTGAGACTCCAGGGCCTCAAGGACACACATGCTACCCACTCACCTCGATTCCTATTTCAAATCCCCCGCCAAGCCCAGCTATCCCAATGGCTGAAGGTGCAGACCACGCTGATAAAACAAAAACAAAAGCAAACAGTAACATTAAACACCCCTGACATATGAACAACTGTGGAAATATAACAAAATGTAAAAGATGGCTTTTTAAAATTACTTAGGTATTTCTCTATGCATTTAAAAATATTCTTTAAAAAGCATGTGAAGACACTTCAAAGGTGTTAGATGCTTACTGTGGGTTTGAGATCACAGACTCACGTCCTCCAGCTCCCCGCCAAGATGTACAACCCTCCCCGCCAACATGCATAACTCCAAACTACTATGCTGTCTGCTACCTTCAGCTGCCAACATTTGTACCACTGAACCTCAACTCTAGTCTTTGGATACAATTTCATCATAGACAAAAGGTATCAGAGGATTCAAGAGTTCATTTTCACTCCTGGGGTGAACTAATACTAAATTCTTTTCATTGTCAATTCTCAGGGCAGGCTCTTGTTCTTAGTAGAGCACAAGTTACAGACAACAAGTTCAAGATCATTAAAATTCTAACAAGGGAAGTTTCTTTACATTTGGAAACCAAGTGCAATAATTCCATGTGCCATGATATGGTATATTTTAGGATTTTTGTGTATTTTCCTCAATATAAAAAGTTATGTTAAGCGAGTCTAGAAAGTTGGTGGGGGTGGGAAAGCATGAGAAAGGCCTTCTCAGGCTCACTCTCTGCCTCAGCAGGCTGATTAAGGAAGTCAGTCTGATAATGCCAAAGCTACTTTTTACTTATGCTGGAGCTGCCCTGGCTCACAGGCCCCTGGGAGGACAACTCATTCTGTCTCGCTGCAGTTTTTAACCCCCCCCCCCGCCCCCACCTGATATGCAGCCACTGCTCAGGATGAAGAGGGACTGAGGTTCTGGAATGCTAGAAAGGTGAGTTGGAGCTGATAGGCCCCCAGGGCTGGGTACGGGTGGGTCCTGCACCAGCTCTGCCCAGGGGGGCCTTCCAGCTCCAAGAACTCCCTGCAGATACCAGTCCCACCTGGCAGGAAATCCTCAGAGAAGCTATATTGCTCAGCTTTACTGTTGAAAAGTCTTCCCATGAACAGTGGGCAATGCTTTTTGTTTTCAATTTTTGAAGATTAGGCTTTTTAAGATTATTTTAACATTTGTGAAAATAAACTTTTTAATTAACAATTAAACAGTTTTGATCTATATGTTTCTTTGAACTTTCACATGAAGGGTCTAAAGAGGGAAGATGCTTGATGGATACAATACAGTGGCTTGCAGACTAGGTCTTGCGGTGCAGCCCCAAATCACAGCCACACATAGAGCTGTGACGCCGAGCCACACTTCAAGAGAGCCTCAGTTTCCCAGGGGGCATGTGGAGGAAACAATGAGTCCAACCATCTGAAATTTAAAGAATGTGTGTTCCACGAACACTCCTATTTATTGTAAGTGTAAATTACTATGTTATAAAATATCTATTAGCAGAGCAGTGTGTTCCTATATGATGGACAGCAAATGTCAAAGCACTTTGTAGAGTGTAGACAGCAAATGTAGAGGCACTTTGGTGGTCACAACACCTGCATACATTATAAACACTGCTACAAGTGTTGGTTCTTGGGATTCATGGCAAATACACTTTGACTTCATCTCTGAGAGGTAAAGTAGATTTCACCCCAGAAAGTAACAGCCAGTTAGACTGCCTGGGTAGGTTCTCCCTTGGTGGTTCTTCAAACACTGCACATATTACCGTGTCCCACAGAACCACAGGTGCTTGCAGATGGTCCTCGTTTCCACAGCAACTTCAGAAAAAATGAGAGAACAATACCAATAAAGATGGGGAAGAGCATTCACAGTCAGTGACAGACAGCAGACACTGCCCCGTTACGGGCTGTGTGGAAGACCTGCAGAACGAGTATGAAGCAGGCCTGCCCTGAGTCCTACCCAGCATCTCCCAGGCTTCCTTCCCAACAGGCAGGTGTCATGTCCAGCTCCTGCCATGCTCTCCATGGAAGCATCCTTATGGAAAGAAGACAAAAAGGAATTGTGGTACTGTACAAAGGTTGACTTACTTCCATCTGGAAGGCGGGCCAGGACGATCCCACTGCCTCCCCTGGCAGTCACCAGGAACCCAGCTTTGATCACAGACAGAATGGCAAGGCCTTTAGCTTTGGCAATCACATGGGCTACAAGAAGAAAAGCAAACAGAAAACCAAAGCATGAGCAAAGGCAGTGTGGGGCAGAACTTACCCTAACACAATGTAGAAAAGTTCACCTTTTGTTGATGTGAAAACTGTGATTCAAGAATACCAGTCAAGTGATTTTGCTCCTTTAAGAAGTTGTTTAGCATTATAAATGATCTGCTATAGTATTCGATTGTACTACTACCTTACTAGTACACTGAAATTATAACTCAATTTCTAACATACTGGTTTATTCACATTTCAGAGAATTCTGTATAAAATGAGAGTGGTCCAGTGGGTCAGAACAGGGTTCAGGGCCTGAGTTTTAAACTTGACTAATGTTGGAATCCACTGAACCCAGAACTTCAATGTTCTGAGAATCTACACGATGGCACAGCTTCCAAACCAATGATGAGGCCCAAAGATACCCATGAAATAGTTCCAAAGCCCCTGGAGTCATTATATATCACCTCTGCTTAGAAGCAGCAAATACAACAGTATACTCTTTAATGAACAGGGTTCGTAGGCCAACTATGTCTTTCCAGATTGTCCACCCAAATCCAGGAACATCAAGTGCCAGCACAGGGAACCTCTGAATAATGAGCCTTTTAGCTTTTCATTTACAGCCTGGGATATACAGCAAGACGGAATTGTGCTGTACAACATCCAGGGGCATGAATCACACTGGCATCTTAGGCTGGGAAACACTGTCCACCCAAGCTCACGTGTGTGGACCCCTGGGCCAAGAGGCTTCCTGTTCCCTGCTGCAGCACCCTGCTGGGGCACTTGGGGTTTCCTGCTTGAATTTCCTATAAGCCAAAAACTAGTGTTTTTTTCCCTCATGCCTGTGTGTGTGGCTCCCTGAGGACCTTCTGGGAAACGCAGGTCCCTGAGGCCTGGTGACCCCTCATGAATGCCGGGGAGGCCCAGCAGCTCAGCCATTTGTACCTAGCAAGCAGCAGAGCTCCATTTGCTCCAACTTTTCAGGGTGGGAGAACCAGCCAGGCTGAAGTAAGAAAAAATGATATTACTATTAATGTTATTATACCAACAAGCATTTTAAAGCTCCTTGAAAGCTGTGAAATAACTTCAGAAAGTCTAAGAAAAAACTATTCAACACATGACACAGTCATGTACTGGGATTAATAATTAGTCTGCCACATACCCAAACCAACTACCTGTGGAGCTTCTCCATAGGAGAGGAGTATTCCATGCAACACCTTGGAAGTAACTGATGACCCACAGATAGGAGTTCCAAGCACTCACCTGAGCACACAACAGTCTCATGAATATGTTATAAATACACATTTTGCTGGCCCCACTGCTCAGAGTCTGGTCCAGTGGGTCAGAACAGGGTTCAGGGCCTGAGTTTTAATGACAAAGGCATAGTGATACACAGATGTGTTGGAAATTATTGATAAATGTCTCTGTATACCACTATAGAATCTGATATCTCAGATGGAAGAGAAAAGCACGAAATTAAAACTTGTTTTTGAGGTTGTTAACTTTCTTACTAGCTAGTAAGTTTGCAAGATTTGCTTATGCAGCACTTAGAGTGGGGCAAGTATAGGAGAACCAAGAAGGCTCCAGGAAGGCTCTGGCCCAGCATCTCCTTCGTAGCTGGGGGAAGACCCTGCCCCTGGCTCAGGCCGCTGCTGCCTTGCCCAGGAGACCCAGGACACCGGCAGGGATCATCCCTGAGAAAAAAGGTGGCCTAAATGTTTACTAGTCTCTGTGGGATCAGCAGAGCGATACTGGAGCGATGCTGAGGAATGCAGAAGGGCAATGTAGAAAAACACATTCAGAGATTCACCCACCAGGAATGATCTTATCAGGTCCATTTCTAGAAGTTATTTCCGTGAATTCTCTTAGGATTCTAGCAGCCTTCTTTGCTTCTGATTTCAGATTGGAAGGTATAGGGTTATTCACTGAAAACAATTTTTTAAAAAGATATTTTAATGAAAGAAATCTACATTAAGCTTTAACAAATCATACCCCCCCCCCAAGGAAATGGCTTGGTGGTCTTCAATTATTGACTACTTTGTTTTTTTCCTAAGACATCAAATCTACTCTGATTAGAAAACCCTAAGCTCTCAAAATCTCAGAATCATAACATTGTGGGATTCTAAGGATGAGAGAATCTGGTCCACCGTCCCACTTTGAGTCTCCTTCACATCATCAATGCACCTTATGACTATCAAAAAGATTCAGAATTTAAAAATTAGGAAAAGGTGCATTTCACAACTAGTGGTGTCCTAGTAAAGTGTAAAGTTAACATATTTGGCCATTCTCATGAGAACACTGAACAGGCTGTCTGCAGACTTTGCTAGAGCTGAATCCTGGGGGCCTGGGAACTGGCTCCACTGCGCTCACCAAGGCCTCCCTGGGCTGTGGGCACACACGTGCCCCTGGGTGTGCTTCTCTAACAGCACTTGTGGCCCTGGGGTTCTGCAGTGTGGGAGGTGGCCCCTCACTTGTCACTGGACCACATCACAGGAGCCCATGAAGTCCAGCAGCTCTGATGTGCACCACGTGAGTGTGGCAGCTAGGATCCCTCACTTAACTGTCTGCAAGGTGCACACCTGGCAAGGTGAAGGCACCCCTGCACATCTTGTCTCTGGTACAACTTGCATGCCAAAGGACGCTCAGACAGACAGGACGATCCAATGGCCAGGGAAAGAATCCTTTGATCCAGCAAAACACTGGTATTTCTCCTGAAGTAATGTGATGCATTTGGGCATCTGGCGTGCTTACTGTATGCAATACATTTTAAAACTGGAAACTGAGTTGGGTCATATTGGAGCTTCGTTCTGTTGAGAAGTCAATTTGGTTTTCTGGGTCAACACAGGAGCATCAACAAGACTCTAGCAGTGCAACGTCAAGTCTGTGAATCATCAGTGAGACTAGTTTGGATAGAGGAATTACTTTGAGGGGGAGGGTACCAGCAATTGAACTTACGGGCACTCAACCACTCAGTCACATCCCAGCCCTACTTTGAATTTTATTTAGAGACAGGGTCTCACTGAGTTGCTTAGCACCTTACATTTGCTGAGGCTGGCTTTGGACTCATGCTCCTCCTGCCTCAGCCTTCCAAGCTGCTAGGATTACAGGTGTGCCCCATGGCATCTGGCTTAGAGGAATGCTTTCAGAGTTTGTGCAAGCAGGATAAAATGCATATGGTGTGAGGTGTCCCTTTCCCCCTTCGGCATCATGCCACCCGTATGTCGTGGCACCTTTCACTTTCTCCCAACTTTTACTTCAGAATGGCTGACACACTGGCTATTGCTGTAGGCTATTCCAATTACCTCTGAGATGCACCTTCCAGAATGGAATTCACCTATGTTTTCAGGGCAGCAGAAGGAGCGTGTATCACACTTCTCTCCTACAGCCACATCCTTCCTGAGTTTTGCAGTCAGACAGCCTCTCCCAGCCACAAGTAAGAGCCACTCCAATCTCTGTCACATATGGCAGTTTTTGTCTGTGCAGAACATTACACAGATGGAGTGGAGCGCGTCTCCTTCTCCACTGCTGATCTCACTCACTGCAGGATTGACGCTACCTGTGATGTCATCATGTGGATCAGAAGTTCACCCTCCTCCTGGTCAGAGGGCACCTGACCTGTGGGAACTTTTCCTCCTGCCCTACCTTTGCCACAGCCTTCCCAGTTTTGGGCTATTCCAAATGAAATTGGTAGATATTCCCATGAAAGTTTGTGCACAGATGTTGTGTTTCTCTTGGACAAATACCTAGACACAGGATCCCTGTTTATAGGGCAAGCACATGCTAGCTGCCAAGGTGGCTGAGATCCTCTCACATGTCTACTAGAAATTTGGGAGAGTTCTAGCACTCTACATCCTCACCAAGCCTTGGCATGGCCAGTCTTGTAAATGAGTTATTTCCATGAATTTCACTGTGCATTGTTTTTATTTCCCACAATTGATGGTGTTGAACACTTCCTTACGCTTATTTTTGTATCTTGTAGCAAGTGCTAAAATATTTGCTCATTTAAAAAAGTGGATTGTTTTCTATTTTATTTAGTTGTAAAAGATCTTGCATCATAGATTTTGTGTATTCCAGCTTCTTTGTCCTGGCGAGAGCTCAGTGTGCACTTCCTGGGTCCGCACAGTGAGCAGTCAAGGCCACCTCTCCATTGCTTTTGAGTGCTTTCATACTTCATGTCCACCCACAGGGGACACAGTCCCGTGGACACAGTTTCTTACTGACTCCTACACTAAGGGGACTCACCTTTCTCTGGAGTCTGTTTCCCATCTGTCTTTTGTGATGGTCTTCTCCACTTTTTTCCTTAATTAAGTCAAATCTATCTTTTAAGTACCACAAGTTTCTTTTAACTAAACATACTAATTCTCAGATTCACATGGAAAGATAAAGAAGCAAGAGGAGCTGGGGAAAACTGTACAAGGAGAACAGTGAGGGCCAGCTCCACCCAAAGCTGGAGCATATGAAGAGGTCTCATCTTAGTGCCCTGCAGTGGACACAAGCCTAGGCAGAACCAGCTTCACCAGGCAGAAAACCCAGAAGTAACCCAGATACATGCAAGAACACGCATGACAAAGACAGAGCCTCAGGTCAATGTCAAAGTGACAGGAGACAAAGGTCTTTGGGGAAAAACCTGAAGTTAAGGTCCAAGTGCATTATAAAGCTAAAAGTCTAAAAATGTGAGGAAAGAGGCCCCTGCTGCTAATCTCTCAATGCTCAGTCCCCTTCCCAGGTGCACCTGGAAGGTTCCTGCAGTACACATGCAGGCCATTACTGCCTTAGCTGTCACAGACACCTGCGCTGGGTAGTAATCACCTTGGCACACACTCTTAAGTTAAAACTGCTAAGGAAAATGTCCAACAATCTCAAGGTGCTCTACCACCAAGCCACATGCCCATTCCTTAAAGTTTTTATGTTGTCCATATGCTTTCCAAAAATACTAGCCATGTTTAGAGCTGCTGGGCATTGCCATCGAAGTGTCTCTGCTTAGAGGAGGCATGCTGGGA